ACCATACACCTCAAAAGCAATTCTGTATTAGAAGAGTTACAGAGCTGCTTCATGGGCTGGGGCAGAGTATTTCACCTTTCTGCTACAGCAACATTTATTTGTATTATCATCAATCTGCAGGCCTTGGGCGTCTCAGCAACATCCATCCACATCATTGGAGTAAGCCTTGGTGCGCATGTTGGGGGCCTGGTGGGGCACTTCCATGGCGGTCAGCTGGGACGGATAACAGGTATAAAACCGTGTCTTGGGTCCTCACCTGCTCTTCAAGGGAGAGAATGAAAGAGCAAGGAAGAGGAGTCATCCACAGTGACTTTTAATTGCATAAGAACTCATCAGATCCAAGCTTGCAGGCTTTTTCCTGGCTTCAGAAGAGCCTGACAATGCCTTTCCAGCCATCAGTCCCCTCCACACCACCAAAAGAATGCATGTATTTTCAAAAGGGTCCTTCCACCTCTGCTCCACTCTTCAGATTGGTGTGAGCTTACAATGCCTTGTGACTAATGAAAACCCTCAATACCCACATGCTTCATTACCACTTTATAGCATGTATACCTCTGTGGTTCTTAAAATGAAAGCTCACAATACATGTTGTGTGGGAGCAGCAAGAGTGAGCTGCTCTGCAGGAAAAAGTAAGCTGAGAGCCAACGGTGACAGCAAGATAGGCAAGGGCAGTGGCTTCTCTGACAAGGGATTCAGTCCTACTGTGTCTGGGAAATAAGAGCAGAGCAGGCAAGGGCCAAAGGCAAGAGCCTGAGCCAATTTTGAGAGGCCTGAGATGAGGCTTCTTGCTGTTCTCTCCCACAGGTCAACTGTTTTCACAGTAGACTGTTCTAAGGCACACAGTTGTACCAAATCAGAGCTGACCTTAAATACAAAGAGCCAGACTCCTGGGTGTGAGGAAGAGGTTACAGTGGGGGAATTACAGAGACAGATGCTGAGGGGCTGATCATGACATTTAGAGCTTTTCGGTTGACTCAGGGCCTTGTCAGCCTTTAGGTATGGAGCATGAATAGAATCACAGGATGATTTAGGTGAGAAGAGACCTTGAAAGGTCTCTAGTCCACCTACCTGCTCAAAGCAGGGCTGCTTCTAAGTCAGATCAGGTTGTCAAGGGTCTTGTCAAGTTCTGAGAATCCCCAGGGATGGAGATTAATTTTGATAGGAGGGAGAACGCCACCAAGAAGGAACAGAGATGACCACAGCTCCCAGTCTGCCTCAGCTCATGCTGGTCTGCCTCACAAAGGTGTCCTCAAGGACGATCCTCAGCAGGGCAGTCCAGAGAAATGTTGGTTCAGCCTTCACATGTCACAGCTACCTACATGGCATGAAATACAGGCATTTCTTACCAGGAGTTAAGTTTCATGCTGGGCTCTTTTTTAAGCTGTGAATGAAAGTGTACATTAGGAGAGACTTGGAGTAACCACTCTCCTGCACCAGGATTTTAAGATCAGCAAGATCTTCAGATGAGCAGAAGCAGACACTTGCCCAGGAAACCATGGTGATTAACTTCATAGTCACAGACTCTTCCTGTTTATGTTGTCTATGTGTAATAAAAGCTCTGTAGACTTATTTATTGCATTAATTTTTAGGAGTGCTAGAAGACAACCCTTTCTCTTCACTCCTGATGGCCCTATGATTTCATAGGCAAACTGCACATTGAAGGTTCCAGTTCAGATTTAGGATCCTGAATACAGGTGGAATTAGACCCAAGATATGTCTGATCTCATCTCCTGCCTCCTCACACGTATGCATACGCACACAGAGCAATGTGATCCTAGAGCCATAATTTGCTAAAGTATTTTCAATCAACTAAAAAGAGCTGTGGAGCAAAACCAGAGTGAGCCTTGGAGATCAGAGCACAGACTTTATTTTTGTGAAGTGCATTTCTTTAACCCATGCCTGTTCCTGTGGATATCTCCTTGAGCAGGAAAGCAAATGCTACAGGAACTGGAATGAACAGCCCATATCCAAAATCACTAAAGAGCAATTTGTTTCAGTTCTTACAGCGGAAATGAAAAAGCCTGAGGGAATTCAACTGCATACAGTATAGCTTCAGTGAATTGGTTTTTTAGATGCTGAGGATGTACATTTCAATGGAGTTCATACAGCTTGTGCTTGGAGGAGGTAGGCATAGCGAATAGAGGACAGAAAAATGCTTGCCTTGGAGCTGTGCTAGAAATGACTGCTGCTCATAGTAGGTGTTTCTCCCTCCTCAGGAAGAACTTTAGGCTATACTGAATAACACTTTTCACTGTCTCTTGAAGCCTTTAACTAAAACTTGTTCTGTAGGACTGGGTGGGGAACCTCTCAGGTTTTTGTATGTGTCAAGATTAAAGAACACAGAAGAAAAATTAAAGCACTAAATTCTTCTGACCACTTGTCCCATTGTTAGCTTTTATTTATAGAAAGAATAGGAAGGATTTATTTTTTTTACTTCTTTCCCTTTTCCTCCATCCCTCCCCCGTCAAAAATGCAGACACTTCAGTTTGTGTATTGTTGGTATTGTGTTCTCCGTAGAGAATTAATGGGACTGAGTCCAAAACAGTGAAACTGGCCAGCTCTGAGGCTAAGTGGCATGTGGAACAGAGCTGCTTCTTAAAATATTGTTGTTACCTGGGGAGTGACAAAAATCTTGACAGATTACTTTTATATGAAAAGTGAACGGGATAAACCTCAGCCAGGCCAAACAAAAAAGAGATCTTCAACTTGTTCCTTGGCATTGCCAAGGATTATCTTCTGTATTCCTTTGACTCCCCGGAAGTTGTTCTAGGAGCAAGTTTTAGGCAAAAATGTAGACGGCTGCTTAAGGACGCATTTCTATTTGTGAGAAGAGGGCTCAGAAGCCTCTTTGCTTTAAGGATGTTTGATAATATCAAACCTTTGTAATGCTTGGATTGGTTAATGCCTGGATGCTGAATTCATCACCTAACTGATGATCTTCAGTGATATTTCTCAGACTAGTGCTAATATAGGTGACTAGTACAGTTAGGGAAGGTGTTACGAGCTTGATTCTCTTTCACTGGCAGTCCAAAAGACACTCTGCACCAATTCTGTCAGAGGTATTCGAGCCTCAGTCATGGCTTCTTTACAGCCTAGAAACTGAAGGTACAAAACTGCTAAAGGGGAGTGGAACAGTGGAGGACAATGTAAGGAAGCTGTACTGGAAGTTAGCGGGGGCAGTAACCATTCTGGAGCATAATCAGTGTGACCTGGGAATAATTTATCACTTCTGCCTAACAACATTTCTACAGTTTTGGATCAAATAACTGGTTCAGAAATAAGAAAGAGAGGGGCTGAAGAGCTCTTGTTGTTGAGGTGTTTGATTTTGTTACAGGCCTGGATCCCGCAGGCCCTAAGTACACCAGAGCCAGTCCTGAGGAGCGCCTGGATCCTGGGGATGCCCTCTTCGTGGAAGCCATTCATACCGATGCTGACAGTAAGCTGGCTTCCATCTTCTTCAGCCTTTGCTTCTGTTCCTCCGGCCATCATTATGGCCAAGGAGCGTGTAGGTCATTGTCCCTTTTAGGCTAGATTACCATGAGTTCAGGTTCACTCTAAGGATGTTTCTTGATCAGATAGGCTTTAATGATGAACTCATTGGCAGGTATCCATACCCCAGAGCACTTTACAGCAACAGACAGGTGGAGATTAGGCAGAAGGCAATTTTCCAGCAAATATTTCCTCCTTAACCCTGCTACAGCAGAGTGAGTTTATGCAGAACCAGCTTGGCGTGGCTTTTACCACCTGGAAGGAATTTACATGTCTGGTTTCACTTTATTTTTTTTTCCTACCCAATGTGAAAAAGGTGCCACTGCAAGTGCCAGTGTAACTGAGTCAAACCAACAGCAGAGTAACTTTTCTAAAGCACTTAAGGTCTACTAGGCAGAACATGTGCTAGAGAATCATGTGGTGCCTTTGAGTCACACCTTTTGCCTGGAGATCATGAAAAGGTCTACCAACATCACTCTCAATCGTTCCTCATTATCCCCCATTAAGGCTGTGGTCAGTTTTGTTCTCCTTTATACGAAATCAAGAACCTGAGTCACAGAGGTGGTGATAAAGCTGTAGTTCCCAGTCGTTTTGATGGCAGGGCCTGGAGCACTCTGCTCCATGCAGCAAACCTGCACAATGTAGGCACGTAGGAAGGAACAGGAAATCTGTCCTCGCTGCCTCCAGCACTGGAGCTGGGTCCAGAACAACGAATATTCAACCAATTATTGGGGCCTGTCAAGCATCAGGTAGGGTAAAGCCTATAGAAGAGCCAAGTGTAAGAATGAAGTAGCATTTCACCTCCTTCCAGATTTTGGGATCCGGATTCCTGTAGGCCACATCGATTATTTCGTCAATGGAGGCAAAGATCAGCCAGGATGCCCCCGATTCATCTCTGCAGGTGAGAACACACTGTGGCCAAGCAAAGGCCTTTCATGGCCATTTAGCAGCCTGTGAAAATGTTGTTTGGAAACCAGCTCCTGCTACAGTCAGGGCAGATATAGAATCATAGAATGGTTTGGGTTGGAAGGGACCTTAAAGACCATCTAGTTCTAACCTCCCTGCCATGGGAGGGACACCTCCCACTAGACCAGGTTGCTTAAAGCCTCATCCAGCCTGGCCTTGAACCCCTCCAGGGATGGGGCATCCACAACTTCCCTGGGCAACCTGTTCCAGTGTCTCACCACCCTCACAGTTAAAACCTTCCTCCTAATAGCTAATCTAAATCTACCCTCTTTCAGTTTAAAGCCATTACCTCTCCCCCTGTCACTATACTCCCTGATGAAGAGTGCCTCCCCATCTCTCCTGTAGCCCCCTTTAGGTACTGGAAGGCTGCTATAAGGTCTCCCCAGAGCCTTCCCTTCTCCAGGCTAAACAATCCCAATTCTCTCAGCCTTTCCTCATACAGGACATGCTCCAGCCCTCTGATCATCTTTGTGGCCCTCCTCTGGACTTGCTCCAACAGGTCCATGTCCTTCCTGTGCTGATGACTCCAGAGCTGGATGCAGTACTCACAGTGGGGTCTCACGAGAACTGAGTAGATGGGAAGAATCACATCCCTTGACCTGTTGATCACACTTCTTTTGATGCAGCCCAGGACATGGTTGGCTTTTCAGGCTGCAAGTGCACATTGCCAGCTCGTATTGAGCGTCTCATCTACCAGCACCCCCAAGTCCTTCTCTTCAAGGCTGCTCTCAATCTATTCTCCACCCAGCCTGTATTTGTGCTTGGGGTTGCCCTGACCCAGGTGCAGGACCTTGAACTTGGCCTCGTTGAACTTCATGAGGTTTGCATGAGCCCACCTCTCAAGCCTGTCAAAGTCCCTCTGGATGGCATCCCTTCCCTCCAGCGTGTTGATCGCAAAAAAGATAAAATAAGAACCTAAATGTTGTATTTTTTGGGGGGGTCCCAGATGCTGCCCCCCCCCCCCCCCGGGTAGGGGGGGGGCGGG